CCACGGATCCGGTCTCAGCAAAGTTGCCTTCAGTCTTGGCACGAAATCTGAAACAGCCGTGCAGGCTCGCGTCCATAACCACTCGCGTGGCCGTATGCAAATATCATATCTGCCTGTTCATGATATGCATATCCTTCTCAGGTAACTCACTACTACACTCGTTAAACGTTGAAGAAAGACTAGCCACAAATGTACACGAATGAAAAATGTAACCTAGTCTAATGGCAACACTGTGCCAGTTACCGTAAGCTTTCTTTAAACTTAATAACATAAAAACGTTGTATTTGCGGATGTAGGTTTTTGTGGATGTTTTTTTCCGAGTTTACGTGTGATGCACCCCCGCAATGTTTGTAAAAGTGTTTTTGATACATCCTGTATGCACGCGCACGCGCGCACTCGCACACATATATGAATTAAATAATATTTATGTTGGTCGCACCACAAACTCGCTTTCACGACGCTTGACACTACATTTGAATGAAAACTCTTTTTAGGCATTTAAAACAACATGCCTGCCCGCACACACAATTCGGTAAAATACTTGTCGAAAACACAATTATACTTCGACATGAAAACAATAGACAAAAACTAAAAATCCTTGAAGCATTATACATCAAACAGTTGAAACCCAACCTAAACAAAATTAACTATGGAATCTTTACAAATATCCTTAAATGTCTATAATTGGTAACAGAAGCCATTGGTTTATACCAACGGCTTCGCACACTTCATACTTCTCCAATTCACTCTCGCGTGGTCATGTGTGACGTCATGAGATGCGGTGCGATTTTCGCTTCTAGCGTCTTATATGCACGTGTTTATCGTTGCTTAGAAATCATCTATGTAAACAATCACAGACTATCACCACTGTCTTGTCCGTATGTTGCGTAATATGCTGTAATTGGCATCTTTGATAATGGCTTATGTAAAGCGAAAGCTTAGATTGTATTAAAAAATATGGATCACTATTGTGAATTTCTTTCTTCGTTCAATGATAATGTTATTAAACAGATCAGAAGTTATGAAAAGAATTTACATAAAATAGACAACACTTGCCTATATTATTTACTGAAACGTGTATATATATATATATATATATATATATATATATATATAATAAAGAAATCCCTAATAAAAAGTTACTACCTACATAGGTTTCACCATATGGGATCTTCAGGGTGAACTGGTTCAGTTCACCCCCGATGATTCAATATGGTGAAACCTAGATAGGTAGTACCTCGCTCATTAGGATTTATTTATTTTATTTTTGCTTTAGTTAGTGTATTGAGCACTCTTCGTTTTAACTTATTACACACTGTTGTTTTTATTTCTTTGTACCAGAGATTTAAGGTACTGGACGATTTCTTTCGCCTTGTTCGGAGGTTTCTGGTGCTTTTTTCTTTCTTTTTTTTCGATTTTTCTCGGATGCCAATCCAGGTTTTTCACCCACCGAGTTTAAATAGATTTTACATTACATACATACATACATACATATATATATATATATATATATATATATATATATATATATATATATATATATATATATATATATATATATATTGTTATGGGATCTTACCCATAATAATAATAATGTACTATTCCATACTTAATAAATACTGTGCCTCTCAGGAGTAGGCAAGAAAAAGTCAGTAGCTCACTTTTGAACCGACTGCACGGTTAAACTTTCTTCCTACGGGCGGGAGGAACCTGAAAGAGGCTACGCCGAAGGGTGGAGTCTCCTTCGGGGAGGTAAAACCGGCCCTGAATCCGTTTATACTGGTTCAAATGGGCTATTTTTTGACCGAGCCTAATGGCTCGGGAATGCCCACGTTAAAAAGGCCTTGTGCCACATGACACCCTCGTGGGGGGGGGGGTGACTGAATATTGTCAGTCACTAGTTCACTTTTGAACCGACTGCACGGTTAAACTCTCTTCCTACGGGCGGGAGGAACCTGAAAGAGGCTACGCCGAAGGGTGGAGTCTCCTTCGGGGAGGTAAATCGGCCCAGAACCCGTTTATACGGGTTCAAATGGGTTATTTTTTGACCCTAATGGCTCGGAAATGCCCACGTTAAAAAGGCCTTGTGCCACATGACACCCCTCGGGGGGTGACTGAATATTGTCAGTCACTAGTTCACTTTTGAACAGACTGTTTGGTTTGAACTCTCTTCCTACGGGCGGGAGGAACCCGAAGGAGGCTACGCCGAAGGGCGGAGTCTCCTTCGGGGGAGGTAAAACCGGCCCAGAACCCGTTTAACGGGTTCAAATGGGCCTATTTTTGGCCGAGCCTAATGGCTCGGGAATTTTACATTAAAAGGCCTTGTGCCACATGACACCCTCGTGGGGGTGACTGAATATCGTCAGTCACTAGTTCACTTTGAACAGACTGCTTGGTTTGAACTCTCTTCCTACGGGCGGGAGGAACCGAAGGGGGCTACGCCGAAGGGCGGAGTCTCCTTCGAGGGGGGGCTCGGCCCAGAACCCGTTTAACGGGTCTAAATGGGTTATTTTGGCCGAGCCTAATGGCTCGGGAATTCCCACATTAAAAAGGCCTTGTGCCACATGACACCCTCGTGGGGGGGGTGACTGAATATCGTCAGTCACTAGTTCACTTTTGAACAGACTGCTTGGTTTGAACTCTCTTCCTACGGGCGGGAGAAACCCGAAGGAGGCTACGCCGAAGGGCGGAGTCTCCTTCGGGGAGGTAAAACCGGCCCAGAACCCGTTTATACGGGTTCAAATGGGCTATTTTTTGGCTGAGCCTAATGGCTCGGGAATGCCCACGTTAAAAAGGCCTTGTGCCACATGACACCCTCGTGGTGGGGTGACTGAATATCGTCAGTCACTAGTTCAAGTCGAGTCAAGAGTCGAGTCAGAGTCAGTCCGAGACAGAGTCGCGTTCAGACAATTACTGCCAGACATTGGAATAGTGATACTGGTCAGGACTACAATGTTCTCTCTACTAATCCTGATTGTTCGTACTAACACTTTCTACTTCTCTGTATATATTCCTGTTTGTAATATATCTGTGTTATTCCATACCTGTGTTCGAGTTCTTCTTTATTGGTTCTAACTTGGACTATCACCGTGGTACAAGTAACGGACTATAACATATATATATATATATATATATATATATATATATATATATATATATATATATATATATATATATATATATATATATATATATATATATATATATATATATATATATATATATATATTAGATAGATCTTAATATACAATTAAGTGTTTTAAACTACCGATATTGCAAAACTTTCGAAGCTATTTATATATAGCCATGCGAAATTCAACATTGTATCAATTTAGAAATATTATATTGATGTGCGAGACTTCATGCAATATAGGGATTCATTGGAGGCTCTCGTTTTTGCTGTCTTGTGTTGTAGACGTTTCCTTGTATTTTGGGATGTTGATTTAGAAGAAGAAATCCAGTATACACTATCACGTGAACATTTTTCAAAAACTCAAATCTCGATTCATCAAATTAACTGGCAATGTCACCATTTCTCAGGACAAATTTGGCTTCATCAAATGTTGAACTATGGATGGAGCTTGGTATAACAAATATAGTTTCTCATTTAAGTTAAATGCAACTAGAAATGTTAAAACAAAAGTCAGGATTTAAGTATCTTCACTAAATAAAAATCATCCAGCTTGATCAACTTTTAATTTTTTCAATCTAAACAGTATTAAATATCAATCTGATGACATAAATGTGTTTTATATAATTAGATGTTTATACACAACACATTTTGTGGTTCTTGACATAATGCATATATCATGTTTAGCCAATTTTCTCTATTTGTCTTTAAATATAAACAGGCTGTGTTTAATTTAGCGTGACTATAAATGCCCACCAGGTGAGATTGTTTTGTTGAACCTTGAACTGTTTTCTATGAAGCCGGTATTTTGAATGCACTCTTCATGTAATTGTGAAGTCAATGGGGAAAGATCACTCATTTTCTCAATATTCGAGAAATCTTATTTAGAGCACTAAATGAAATTAAATAAATATACTGTTTAATAAATAAACGGAACGTCTACTCAGATATGAGTATCCACAAAAATAATGTTTAAAGAGAGAAAACGTGCATGTGTCTGATCGTAAACAACTGTGTTTATGTGTCTAAGCCTTCTAAGATTATACTCATCATATTTTGTATTGATCTGAGTCCGATATATATTGAAGTGTAGAGACGTCTTTATGAGTGTGTAATATTCTAACGTTTGTTTTGATGTTGAAATACGTCTATGTGATTGTATTGTTGCTCTGGTTTTTGGTGCATAAAATAACACCAGGCTAGATTGTTAATATGCAATATTCGTCTGCCAACACTTTTTTTCTTTTTTCCTTTTTTCTTCCCTTTCTGTCATTATAAAGAATATATGAGCCGTTAAATGAAAATAGATTTCACCATTATATTTTCCCATTGTATAAATATGTTATTGGGAATCAAACCCGGAATGATTTCAGCGTATATTATTCAATCCACTGAAAACATATGTCGATGCACCCTTATACTAAATTATATAAATCGTTGCCGCACCAAGTCTGCTGTTTCTGATATGTATCAAAATGTTTCTTAACAAAATCTGCCATATTTTCTGTGCATACATGGTATTTTAGCTTTATTCATTTTGCCATAAGTGTAACGTCGCGTCTCCGATTTTTTTCCATCAATATTTTCACGCCATTTTTCGCTTATGATCTCTTCTCTATGGCATCTCAACTTCAAGAATTTAAGCGTAGTGTCAGATTGTAATTGCTAAGCGTAATCGTAAGTTAACTGGTTTCTTCAATTCAAATGATTTATTCCTTTGCCCTTGTTGCTTGTGGAAATCTCTTCCTGTTTCTTGCTTTCCTGTCAACTAACTCAGTTAAGTGTTCTACGGGATGCACGCTTGGGCGACCAGGACTCTTTCCCGCAGATTTTCCCGCAGAAGGTTGCCCGTTCCTTCTGTGGTAGAGTGCTTGCCAATCAAGGTTATGGGACATAGTCCACCCTGCTATTCAACCCATAGCTGGAGGGAGAAGAGATGGATTCCAAACCTTTCTCAAGGGTATTTGCGCGTAAGTGGATATAACGAACCCGACTGGAATTCAAACTCGGCTCTCCGATTTCTCATTCCGAGCCGATATCTATTAAATCGCAACGAACATCCATCATTAACTCCGATCCTCAGAAAATTAAATGCATCGTCAATAGCCGTCTTCTGTTTACTTGAATCCTGTTCTGTTTATTGTCTTTTATTCTCGGCAACGTTTTATTCCTTGATTCTTAGAGGCTTTATTGCCGTGTTTGTTGGGGTGAAATAGCCCAACCCCCGGAAACTAGGAAATGAGAGATTTGTTCAAAATTGGCTTGTGGCTCTCACTGGAAGAAGAAGAAATAGGTTCGTACCTTTCGCAAGTGCATCTGCGTGTAAGTAAATACCTCACATTCCACAGGCATTCGAACTCCACACTCCGCATATTCATAGATTAGGCCACGGAGATATGGTTCTGCAGAAGGATGCTAAGGATACCATGTACAGAACGTTAGAGCAACGATGAGGTCTTAGGATGGAAACAAGGAGAAGGGTTATGTTTAACATCAGGAAGATGCAGCTGAAGTTTCTGGGACATATAATGAGGAAGGAAGACCTGGAGAATCTGATACTCACGGGTAGAATAGTGGGAAAGAGAGACAAGGGAAAACAACGTGTGACATATTTGGCGAGCTTAAGCAAGTGGATGACAGGACGTAGTCTGAGGGAGGAAGGAGAGGGAAGGACCTTGTTGAGAGATGCAAGGGATAAAGGGCAGTGGAGAGCCATGATCACCTACGTCCTGAAAGGACATGACGGATAAAGAGAATGAATAACCATGTTATGCAAAACAATGCTCTGGTGAAAAAAAAAATTGAAATACGCCAATGAAATGAGAGATGCTCCATACAATACTTTCCTTTAATATTGTATTTCATTTCTACAGCAAAATTCATAAGACATTTGATGTATTGCTTTATATTTATATAATAGCTGAATGACAATTACGGAGGGATAAATAGTTGAGTTGCGGTTAGAATAAAAACTTCTCAATATAAAAGGATAATGAAAACACAACGCCTAGTTTCGTATTTTCAACGTTAACTGCCTGAAAATTTTATTATAATGCGATAATGGACGATGGAGCTGGAATAAAAACCGAGCATGTGTAGGAAAATTCTCGAAAAGTGAACGGAAATATTCCAAAATCATTGACCAAATATCAGAATGCTGATTTCTTTTTTAAATTGTTCGGGCCGAGACATTTTCAGAACGACATCATGTCGATATGTCTGCGTCAGTATGCAACCAATGTAGAGTAAATACTTTGTAAGCAGTTTAACATGAAAAAAGCAACAATATATTGAAGATATACGCATAAAAACATTCAAGGCATACCTGCAGGTGGCAGAAAAATAAACCAACTAATAATGGATCACAACAAAACCATCTGCAACATGGAAGATATTAACTAGACCAAAACGAAAATACCTTTCAGCTGAAAGGAACTAAACATCTAATTTGTTAAAAAGGTAAAAAAAAAGGTTTAGTATCGGAAGAATTTAAGCTAACGGTGATATTGTAAATTTTCGAAAGTATCTTGAAACGAGGCACATATTAACTCGGGGTAAAATGTAACACGTGTATTTAGGGGTGAAATTTTCATTTCAAACCGCGATATGATCTCGAGTTATTTTCTCGTAAGCATCACTATCCTTTTCTCGCTTCATTGCTTGAATATCAACAAAAAACAAACAAGGAGAGCAGAATATTCAAAATCGACATATGTCAGTAGAATTCCATTTATTTTGCATATTGTGTTTTGTTGTAAGACCGTTTTATCACTTTCTAGGCTGTTTTCAAATTATAATTTTATGTTCATTAAGGTTAAATAAAGATGCATTTGTTGAGTAAATCAGAAATCAGAGAGGTGTCATTGTCCTAATTTTAGTTGTTACAATTTTAAGTCCTTAAGTTGAAATGACATCCAGAATAGCTTATCATAATGTTCAATTAACTAATGTTCATGTACAGCTTAAATAACTGAGTTTGTTTTTTATATTTTATATATATATATATATATATATATATATATATATATATATATATATATATATATATATATATATATATATATATATATATATATATATTCACAAAACTAATGCAAAGGTTAATGATTTGAATGCATTAGTTTTGTGTGAATAATTCATGTATTTGTAAATTGATTGCACGTTTATTGTAATATATATATATATATATATATATATATATATATATATATATATATATATATATATATATATATATATATATGATAAAAAGGCTTAAACATTAATATTCCATGGTAATTTGAAAAAGGTGTTACTTTTTGCACGGCTTTACCCTAATATTTACAAGTTCTTTCGCTTGAAACGTTGTTTTAAGAAAACACATTTCTCAGATCCTGTAGCTATATATCGTCGTTTACGTCTCTGATGGACGTTTCCTTCCTAGGCTTTTACTTGAAGTAGGGTGGCACGTTAACATCTTGATTATGTCGCTATACTATCTTCAAATACAGTGTAACCCGGATATAAGAGAGTTGTCGGGACCGGAGAAGAAGTCTCTTATATCCGGGTTTCTCTTATATCCGGGTTTGGTCTATTTTGTTTAGGTAACACAGGCTCTAATTTGGGACCAGTGACAATCTCTCTTATATCCGGGTTTCTCTTATATCCGGGTTTCTCTTATATCCGGGTCTCTTATATCCGGGTTACACTGTAATGTGATTTCCATTTTAGTTGTTGGAAGTCTTCAAGTGATGTGGTTTGTTATTTGGTACAGTTCTTTGTTTGGAATTCAGATGCATATTAGTTGAAGCCGGGAACAAATTAATTCGGGGTAAAAATAACACGTGGATTTAGGGATGAAATTATCATTTAACACCGCAATGGACTCTTGTGTTATTTTCTCTTCAGTGTCACTAACCTTTTCCCGCCTTATCCATTGAATATGAACGAAAAAATAAACAAGGAGAGCAGAATATTCAAAATCGACACGTCTGTAGAATTCCACTTATTTTGTACCTTGTGTATTATTTTAAGACAGTTTTATCTCATTTTAGACTGTTTTCAAATTATTATTTTAAAGTTGTTAAAGTTGTATTTGAAGCGTAAATCAGGTACCAGAGTGGTTTCATTATCCTAATTTTAGTTGTTACAATTTAACCGAATATGATACATTATGCCCCACTGTCTCTTACTTTTTGCCCCACCGTGCGGTAAAATGTAACATTTTACAGTTTTCATTTTTTCACGTTAAGTCCTTAAACTGAAACAACATCCAGAATAACTGCTTCTTATAATATTCAACTCTAATGTTCATGCATAGCTTAAATAAACGTGTCTGTCTTTAATTATATGATCGTTACGGTAATATGAAAAAAGGTGTTATTTATGCCCCCCACCCTTACCATATTTAATTGATTGTTTTTTTATGATTTGTCAACCCTTTATGCGTTATTTAATCCGAAATATATTTTGTATTGGAAGCATGATTCTTTTTTTTTTTTCGTGTAAATATTGCATCAACAATTTCTTTTTTCCAAATCTATCTCCTTCTATTTAACTCATAGCTGTAACGAGAAAGAACGGATTCCTACCTTTCGCAAGGGTATTTGTTTGTAAGTAAATACCACGAATTCGGTAGAGATTCGAACTCGACACTTTGGTTTTTCATCCCGAACCGATATCAATTACACTTACCGCACTGTCAGACAAAACAAGGTTTGATAAAAAGCCGGTTATGCAAAACATTGTTCTGGGGTAAGAAAATGTAAAATACGTAAGTGAAATGAGAGAGGCGAAATGGAAGGAAATAACAAAATGACAAATACGATTATATTTTTTTGGCAAAATTTCAGGCCCGAAAAAGGATATTGAAATGAAGGAATCAAATATGAAATTATCTTCGGAATTCTTGAAAAACCGAGATAAACAAAGTCAATACGAAAAGCAATGATACAATGGCATCATGCAGAATCAAATTTGATTTTAATCTTTAGGAAAAAAAAATGATTTTCCGAAAGAAAACTATCCTTATAAGGTCAATGATAACACGACCGAATTTCCGGAAGAAAGCAAAAAGAGATTCTAAAGTTTTTTAAATATAAAAATAGCACAAGGAACATGAACAGCAAATTGACACACGATACTTAAGGAAACAAGTGAAGTGCTAAGCAATTCTATAAAAAGGGGAGATAACTCAAAGTCGAGGCTAGAATTAATGGATACCAAAAGAAATATTGTGATAGGTAGCTAAAACGTAAAAACAAAATTAAACGAAAAATGATGCACTTTAAAAAAAAAATTGAGCTTCAGAAGCATAGAAGACGCTCTCATCATATGGAAAATTTTGAAACGCTAGCTCCATAACTGACAGAGATAAACAATTCATTGAAAGAAAGAAACAGGAGATTGGCAAAAGAATTGAGAAGATATTACGAACAACCGAAAAACAATACGAACTTATCTAATAAAATAAAAATACCACCAATAGTTTCTCCGGCGAATACTAGAAATGTACTGAAAAAAATAACGGCAGAAATAAAATTTGAGTTTTAAAACGTGACATAGAGAAAACAGCATACAGAACTGGGATAATACAGGGTGGTCCGAACATCTTTTCAGCACCTACATAATATAATTTTCTATTTAAGATGGCTGACACAAAAATGATGTTCATCCAGACCATCTCGATGTGTGACAGAGTCAATAGATATGCATAAATTGAATCTATTACGTGTGTTATGTATTGTTCTTCTATTGTCCTTATTACTTTTTGGCAGGAGGTGACAAAACTTTCGGACCACCCTGTATGTCATAAAGAAACATTGGAAATGCTAGGCAACCTTGAGATATTTGAGAAATCTATTAAAATAATTCAGAATCTATACTGGAAGCAAACTGCCTGTATATAGATAGAAAATGAATTCACTAAATATACAAACATAGAAAGTGATGCAAGACACGGATGTGTATTCTTAGCAGACTTATTCAGCCTATGCAGTGACACAATTCGGGGAGTATTAGAAGTCTTACCAGAATTCATTAGTGGAGTCCACAATCTTAGCAATAATAAATATGAAGATGACATAGTGCTGATAGTAGACACTGAAATAAAAAGTAGAATAACTCCTACAGAAGGTCGTGACGGAAAGCGAGAAGAAAGTTCGAAACATCAATTCAAGCAGTCAGAATGCATGTTTATCGTTAAAAGGAACAGCTCAACTTGTAAATTACAAATTGAGGATACCAAAATCAAGCAAGTACAATTATTCAGTTGTCTGGGAATTTTTTAAACGGAGGATGATAAGTGCAAAACCGCAATCTGAACGCCTATTGGGATAGCGAAAATGCCTTCCAAAAGCTGAACAAAGTAACAAGAAACAGGAAAATTTCTTTAGAAAAAAAATAGTATTGAACTACTGAGCTTTTACACTTATCTTCCTCCGTTCTGTAATATCAGTACTCCTGTGCCTGCTGGACCCTCTCCGTACTGATGAAGAAGATACTTGAGACGATAGAAAAGTTGTTCTACAGAAGGATGATTTGTATACCATGGACTGAACATTGGAGCAACGGCGATGTTTTTTTGTTTTTTTTTTAGAGAAAATGGAAACATAAACAAGATTAACACTTAACATCAGAAACACAGACGGCTGACATTTCTAGAACACGTGACGAGGAAAGAGAGCTTATAAAATTCGAGGGACACTGCACATAAAGATCTTCTGGCAATATCTAATCTAGCATGACCGAATCTATCTTTCCGAAAATGAAGCCATAAATTCAATCTTGTATTACAAGTGAAGTATGCAAGAGAGAGGGGGAAGTGAGACAGACAAACAGACAGAGAGGTTCAGTGGCAAATACAATTTCTCTACCCCTGGACGCTTTCAATGCGTAGACTTGAAACTGATGGAATAGCTTAATGAAGCAAATTCTGTCCCATCTGTTAAAGTGCTATCACTTAAGTAGCCCGATAGAATTGGTTAATTTACTTTGCTTGTATTACGATTTCGAATATTTATACCAATCGGCGTCTTGATACTAAGATATTTATTGTGAGATTGTCAGTGTACGGTTAGCTTGTTGAGTGATTGATTTATCGCCAGTCTATTGATCTGTCTGGACATCTCTTTACGGTGCTGCTTCAGAAATGAGCGCGCTTGGACGCGCGATACAATTTTTAAATCTACATAAAAAAAGGAGAGATATCTTCCCATAGCTACCTTTTCCTTACACGTTAGAATACTTTAATTTGCAAATAGGATTAATTATATATCGTTATATCGGTAGATACTTATCACTTTAAACGTTATATTTTGTAGATACTCGTATTTGTGGGGGAGCTCCATTTATTTATTAAACAGTATATTTATTTATTTTCGGCTACCGGCCTGAATGTTCGACTAAAACTTATCAAAGATTTAAAAATTGTGCTCTCCGAAAGTATTTGAACCTGCGTCCGTCAAGGCTGACGGAGCTACCTTTAAGCCCGATTCGCTTTAACCGACTTGGCCACGAAGAGCTTTCGATCAGGTGAGACAAATTTTGTGCCATTAAGCGAAGTTTCTCATTGATCTCTCGAAGTTTTCCTTATCTGCACAGTTTCGTATCTAAACATAAATAAATATAATTTCAGAATGGATTTCCTATTAATCCGACATTTTTTGTCACTTAATACATTAGTTTTAGCGGATACTTGTATTCCGTTATTTATTATATAATATGTTTATTTATTTTCGTCTACCGGCCTGAATGTTCGAGAAATCTTATTAAAGAAACATTTGCCTTTTTCGGCAGGTAGATAGATAACTAGGCAGATAGCAAGTTTAGATAGTTCTGGCACAATTAACGTGATAATCAGTGTGAATCAAATTTGTACACAAGGGTATTGTGGTGTAATGGATATTGACTCAGAGAGACGAATTTGAATTCCAGTCGAAATATTTATGCTTACATAGGCGCAAATGACGTTGGGAAAATTAGGAATCCATATCTTCTCCTCCACCCCACCATATATCGGTTCAATAGCAGGACAGGCAGGGTCCTATGGCATTTCTTGGCACCCAGACTACCGCAGAAAGAAACGGCAACCGACTGCGAGAAAACCTGCATAGACGCTCACGAATCAAAAGAGACATGACCTCTCTGGCGTGTATCACGTAAGGCACTTAACTGACTGGCTTGATGGTCAGCTAGATACGCGCCTAAAACATTACTACATCTTGATGGAAGTAGCTGTATAAATGTATCAAGCTTAACATTCTCACACACAGAGTTCACATTGCAACATCAAGGCAATATTTGTAACTTTAATATCGCTATTAGTTCCGGTTCTAACATCTATTCACACATGTTTATTTAGCTTGCTCGCTGTTCCGTCTGCCCCACTTACCTTCAATATATCCTGTGAGTGTCAAATTCTGCAACCCGTCTTTCCTCACTATACATCCAAAACATTTCAAATGACTCTCTTTAAATCTAAATAAAAGTTTTTTTTCTCCATTTTCTTCAAAAAATCATCGTGAATTACATGGTCCGTTAAATGTATTCTCAGAACTGTAGAACCACATCTCTGTTGGCTGGAATATTCTCAACATCTGCGAAGAAATTATCCAGCGTTCACTAATATATATATATATATATATATATATATATATATATATATATATATATTATTATTATTATTATTATCTCATATGCACTGTACTTTTTGGAAAGTGCTCAATATCAGTGACAAAGGAAGACTATTTAGTTGTATGGTTATGAGTTTGAACCTGCGTCCGTCAAGGCTGACGAAGCTACCTTTAAGCCCGGTTCGCTTTTTAACCGACTTTGTCACGAAGAGCATTCGATCAGGTGAGCCAAATATATATATATATATATATATATATATATATATATATATATATATATATATATATATATATATATATATATA